AGCATCTTTACTTTTCAATTCTGAGATGCATTTTCTTTTCCAAGAATCTTAGAGCAGAGCCCAAGGTGATGCTTTGTTTCTCAGCAGAAGTATCTACCTGTTTTCCCCCCTGAGCATTAGGTCTGCAATCTCACTTCCCTGTTCTCTAGAGGTCTAGATGAGCCTATTCCTGGCACATGCAGATTTCAGAGAGGCAATGAATCTTCAGCATCCATCTATGGAGGAGATTAAATCCAGTCCTTATTTGCCTACCAAGACAGAGTCTCCTAAGAAAGTTGTTAGAAAAAATGGTCAGACACAAACCATTTTTTCATCTCTTAAACATGAAGCAAACAGACAGAGAACACATGTACTCCACATAGCTACTGCTAACCAGAAATGTCTACATATGCATGTACCCATTGTGGAATATGAGCATGGATAAGCATCAAAAGGAAAAGCCAGATCTACACAGTAAATTAAGAAACAGGCAGCAAGGCAAGGTGAGAAATAGTGAAATCTTTTTCCTGAGCTACTCTGAAGTTTTGAAAGGACAGTCACTGTCATGGGAACTTTCACACTGCATATCAATTAATGGGTAGCTTTGTATACAAGCCTGCAGCCATATTTAAACCACAAGCCTTATTTTCAAACATATCTAGTAATTCTTTAGGAGTATTTTCTTCATAACAAATATTTAAACTTAAAAAGGTAAACTTGATCAAGACACATTTTCATTGCATTATCTACTATCCAGATGTTTTTTTAAAAAGTAGAACACATAATAAATAGGTTCACTTTTTTTCTTTTTTTTTTCCAACTACTTGGTTGTTAAATTCAGTTTTTCATCCTGCAAGGTATCAAATCTATAAATAAGGCAGGACCTATCATTGGCAAGAGGCATTTAATAAAAGTGACTGCTAAATCAAACCATACTTGTAAACACTCCAAGACAAATTACTACAGGACTGAAACACTCAAAGCATTAAGATGGTATTATCAGTCCTAGCAGTATTCCTCATAGTGGCTGAATATTGCTACATCAAAATTACACAATATTGGATCCCTTTTTGTAAGGGTGTCATAATTAATATTTTCCTAAATTCATACTGACACTTGGTAATGACCTCAGTCACTGTTTAGAGAAGACCAGGCAGCGACAACCTCCATTTTAAGCTGTATTTCTTTTCACCCTGCTAAATAAAGCACAAAAGGCAACCACATCTTGTAAGCTACTGAGCATGTGACCTTGTATCAAATTTTAACAGAAATGACCTAACAAGCTCCTAAGAATTAAGGATGCATGATACTGATTGAGTAAATATTTTTTGAAGGGTAAGAGAACAACAACAAGCCCTTAACATCAGACTGCTGAAAAACAGAAGTTCTCTATTTATTATCAAAACAAGCACAGGACAAGTGGCACAGAGACTAGATATACTTTCTTCCAGATATACTTCATTTCCTTGTGAGACAATCTGTAGTAAAAACACTTGAAAAGAGCATTTTCCACTGATTCTACAGATTGCTGCTATGAATTCACAATTTGAACCTTAATAGACTAAGCAAGGATTTTACTTGTCTGTCTGCCTCTTTTAGAGAGGCACCAAAGCAAGAAAATCTCAGTCACTAGTTTAGACTGATTTTAAAATTGAGAGGAATAACAACAGTTTGATTTAGTAATCTTATGATTTATTGGTTTGTTCTTCAACAATCTCAATTAATGGTGAAAGTATATAATAAACTGAAGTCAAAACTTATTTATAGTCTTCATCTCAACCCAATTCCCAAGTTACATGTAATGGAACACCTATTAATGGAATTTGACACCAATTAAACAGGGATAAGAAAAGCTCTCCCTTTTGGTTCTCCCCTGCAAGAGCCAAAAGGAATCTGATGCCTAATACCTACCAGTCAGGATTCATGCCAAGGAGCTGGCAAGAGTTACCAGCTCCTATCTAGCATGCCATATAATCAATTTGTTAGTGCATTTAATTTTAAATTAGAGCCTGCTTAATGAGCAGGTTGTTTCTTCAGTTTTAACAGCTTTTATTCCACAACTCTCTGCAAACATGGTGCAGAGAGTTAAATTGCAAAGACTTGGCTAATTCTGTTACTTCAAAGCCCAAAAAAGTTTTTACTTCTCTTTCACTACAGGAGTCACAGCATGTATTCTCCTTTCCAACAGGCTTCAGGAAATGCAAGAGGGATGAACAGAGACTGGGGATGGCACAAGGCACACAGAGAGCCTGGCTGGGACCTCAGGAGCTCCTGAGCAGTGCCAGGCTGGCAGACAGTGCCTCCAGCAGCCCCCAGCCATCAGGGGCCAAGCAGTGACACACAGGAACCCCAACCTGCAGGGTCTGTGCCACCTGGGCTTCACCACATGGTCAAACACAGCCATTCTGGCAGAAGCTGTCTTTCCAGGTGGGAAAAATGGAACTTGGTGAGTACAGGTACCAGGTCAGAGGCCATGACATTCACTGTATTTTTTTCTTAGGGCACTTTCAACCAGTGTTACAAGTCTAGCAGTCTGTCTGCTGTCAGACACCCCTAACACTGGGAAAAATTCAAGAATTTTAACATAACAAAAGCTGTCACTTGTCTAGAGATCATATCCCTCTTCCAGTTACCACATTTTTAAAAATAAACAATGAAACAATAGTAACTTTCATTTTCAAAAGATGAGGAAAGTAGTCTCAGGTTGGGTAGATGTGCCAGTGAAAAACTATTTTTTCTTATAACCTTTGACTTACTTGTAAGTACATACTTCTTTTTACTTCTGGAAGTACACAAAGTGTGGCTTTTTTATCAAAAGCAGACAAAACTATGATGAAAAAATCCAGAGCTATCTACTTGAGCTGAAGTATCTGTGTTGAAGGGCACAATCCACACTGTGCCTTCATAAACACTGGGGTTTTTTTCAGATCCACAGGGATTTTAAGGAAAATCAAGTATTTAGATACACATAAATTAAAATGAAAACTTCTGGGTTTCAGGAAGGGGTTTTGACAAGAATTATTCAGTCTAAGTTTTACTGAGAGCTGAAGATTCCCCTCTCAAAGGGAGCATACAAAGCTTGTGTCTGTCTCCCATTGAAGATTTTATGTTATAAACACATAAGCATCATGGTTTCTCTGAAACTCTGAGCAAAAAGAGTATCTTCATACAATTTTGGGGTAATCCTTAAAATATTAGATTCTAACAGTACACTGGAATAAGTTTTATAGTGTTATCAAACACTATATTAGAAACAGCCTCAATCAAATTGTTTTCCTATACTAGAGATTTATTTCAGAAGCCAATCTGATTTATTTCATGTTCCAGTCTGATGGGGGGAAAGCACCCTATAAAAAAGAAAATTATATTATCATAATATTATATAGTATAGTATAGTATAACATAAGGGGCTTTGTTCTCTGCAAGCCAACTAGCTGCTTTAGTCTGAATTATAAACAGGAAGCAGTAACACAAGCATCTTCTAAAAAAAAATCACAAGCTTTTTGTTCAATAAACATATTTTAGAAGCTCTTTTTGCGTGCTTGTATAGCCTTATTCTTCAGTTCTCTGCAAGGGTTAACAATGATTTATGACCTATCCAATAGCTTACTCTAGAACACTTGACTCCTACTCCTCTGAATTTGGTTTTATTTTAAAGCATCTCTACAAAGTTTATGGGGAAATAGCATAAGATGTCATCTGGATTGTACAGTTCTTTGAAAAAGGCTAAATCGAAGTGTTATACAATAAGATCTATGTGATTAAAAACTAAGTTACAAGAAGTAACCATTAATAGAAGTCAGTTTATAACTGCTCAAAAACACACTGGCCTCCACCATAAGATACTTTTAAAAATAAATATCTGATGTAGAGTCAGTAATCTAATCCATTGCCAGAAAGCAGTGACAGCCATTTGTTATATTGAATAAAAAATAGCTTTTAAGGCATTGAAGATTTTTCAACAGAAGTGAAGATATTTATTTTCATTAATCTCACTGTTCTATCATGGGTGAATAATGAGTATTAAAATGACCCTTCTGTTTTCATACTGAGTTCTACTAGCCCATGCTCTACCAAATACTCTTAATATGAGGATGTGTAATGGTCTCAAAGCAGCATCTCATTGGAGACTGTGGGCTTTTCCCCACCTTTCCCTTTGAAGCCTTTTGGTTCACACCACTTCAGTCAACAGAGCACCAGCAGCAAGCTGTCCAGGAACAATTCACCATTTAAGCAGTGCAATGTGTGTCAGCCAGCCTGACAAATGCATGCATCTCCCAGTTGCACCTGAATTTCTTAGTTTAGGAGTGTACTACAGAAAAAAAAAACAACAAAACCCTGCTAGGGAAATAACTCTAGTACATGTACAGGAGATGGCTAATTGACATCTTCCCCATCACCAGAAGCCAAAGCTCCATCAGCTGCTGTAGACAGCAATAAAACACAGCTCACCTGGCAGCTGTGGGACAGGGTAAGAGCAGCAGTTACATGAATGCCATAAAATGTAGTAAACTAAAAGGCTGAAGTTTGAGAGACAGAAAAATCCATGTATTTTGCTTTTAATAAACCTGAAATATGGTGAATACAACAGAGCCTGAAAATTGACACTTTAACAAACCTCAATACAAAGGAACAAAAATTACACTTCTAGAATGTTTTACTGCTTTCACACTGCATCTAAAACACACAAGTGTCATTGGCCATGTATGCAGCTGAGTACCAAAATAAAGCATTCTCTTTGGAATAGTATAGAATATTTTTCAAATCTCTCTTTTCATGGTTAAAGTATTTTAAACCTTGCATTGAGACCAAAGAACAAAGATTTTATCCAGCTTAACTAATACTTCTGATTAAAGCACTCTTTTAATAAGACAACATCCAAATTAATTTTGTGTTTCTCCCCAACACAACCTGCAGTTTAAATCTGGCTTCCTATCACCAATTGCTTTCTTTAGCAATAGCACAAAGGCAAGTATGTATAGTTTCAAACACATCACACTCAGGAAGAAATGTGCACTTACCAAGTGAACATAAGGCACAAAGTATCCAAAAAGTGCAGCTGGAATCCCTAAAGCCCAGATTCGGTAGCTGAGAACTTTGAAAACGGAGAAATTGCAAATCTTTTTCGCAGGAGGTAATTTGAATTTTCCCTTCTTTCCTCCCTCCTTGTCTTTGGTGTTGGGAATAAGAGGTTTGTACGTAAATCCAGCCAGGAAGAGCACAAACATAAGGATGCAGAGGACCCTCAAGGTGTTGAAGAGGTCGACAGAGTCGAGGAGGACCCTGAGGAGGAAGGGCAGTGACACTGTGAACAGGCTGCTGCCCGCGGTGACAATGCCATTCACCAGTCCCAGGCGCTTCTTGAAGTAGTGCCCGAGGATGACCAGGGAGGGCTGGTAGGCAAAGGAGCAGCCACAGGCAAACACGATCCCGTAGGTGAAATACAGAGGTTCAATGGTGCTGTACCAAAAGAAAAGAACAAATAATCAGTGTTTGGTAAGGCAGTGGATGCTCATTCACCTGGAAGTAACAACAAAACAGCTTCTCAATCAATCAACACAACTCACTACTGTAAATAAGAGTTTGTATATACTTATAGTTGAATAGCACTGTATCAGCTTAATTCACCAACTAGTCTATCTCCTTCCACTGAAAAATTTCACAGAATTTACTGAACAGGTAAAAAAATAAAAATTACATTCAATTTTAATTACATCAAATAGTGTAGCTAAAAAAGTTTTCAAAATCACTGTCAAGGCACATTAGCCAAATGTAAGTTCAACCATTGCTGGGTTTTTGGATTTTTTTTTTTTCCCCAAAGAAAATTGTACTGTTTTGATTTACACATTTCTTCACTATGCTAGCAGGTCAAATGTCATACTGAACTCTCCTCATGAACCCATAGAAATCAAGTAAACAATTTGTTATGAAAATAAAGTAACAAATGTGGCAGACATCAATAATAATGAAAAATAATATATTTAAATACTGACAAAATTTTGTAATGTAATATATTAATAAATTATAGACTCTTTAGGTATTAATTCTTTAGACAAATAGTCTCCTTTTTAATAAATACTTTAAATTCAGTGGTTTGGCACATATATTGAATATGCTAAGAAAGAACTAAAAAAAAATGTTAATAAGAAATGAAATATTTCATCTCATAGGAAGGTGGATCTTCATTATAAAGTTCACTATTATTACCATTTACTCTACAACTGAAACAAAGCAGAGCCATTTTAATTGATCACAAACACGTGACATGAATAAAAAGTACTTGTGCAAGAAATGCTAAAAGTATGAAGTAACAGCAGCAGTATAAGTAATTAAACTAGTGCTGTAGTATTAGTTAGTGAAAGAAAACATTTTTTAACATTTAGATGAAGGCAGGGTGCAAGAAATTTTTATGAGTTTTCTGAGGCAGCACATGAGAGTTTATATATTTTTTTTTTAATGTTATGTTTACAATGAACCCTCACCTCCTGTTTTATCAATTAACACCTGCATTTAAAGGACTTCTGGAAAACAGAAGTTAATCTTTTTAACTCTTTAACTTTTTTAAAATGAGCATGAGTGCTTTACATAGTGCTTTTCATGACAGGATGCAACCTGCCAGCACTCCTCTGTAAAAAAATCAATTCCACAAGCTCCCTATGCAAGAACTTCTTAGGAAATAGTAATTGGCTAATCAAGGTCTGACTCCAGGTACTCTGGGTTTGTGTATTATAGCGAAAAATAATTATTTGTGTGACATAATATTGTCACCTTCTATATTAAACTATCAATTTCTGAAACTGATGGTACACAACATAAGCCAGCAGAAACAACAAAAGGGGAAAGATTTATTACCTTTATTAATGGAAAATAATCAGGAAAATAAAACCAGAAGTTACAAAATGAGAGGAGTAACATCATGCAGTGAAGACAGTGAACTTTTGCTTCCATATGTAAATTCACTCAAAGATCCTGCAGCACAACATGCATATTAAAATATTGTCCTGCATTATAAACACATCTTAATTTCCTAAGACATAAAACTTATATTAAGAAATTGGTGCAATGCAAAAGCAGTAGATCATATGACATTTGCCTACTTTACAGTATTTTCCTTCCAGAACATTGGCTTCTGTATCTGAACTATGCTCCTTTAATGAACTGATAACATCACAGGCATAAATCATTTTAGTGTCAGTAACATAATGAAACACCAAGTATGCACATCAACCTGGCATGTACTCTTACAAGAATTCACCTCTCAAAGTGCTCTTCAAAGTTTAGTTAAGCTGAAATATTTTTAAAGCCTTTACAAAACAACTTGCTCTTGCATGTCTCTTCTGTGCCTTTGTTCAACTGGGTATCAGACAAACACAAGAATGATCTTTATCTAATGACAAGGGTGGTTTGGTATTCATCACTCAACATACTACTAGGTAGAAAAGAGGAAGAAAGACTCTTCCAAGACACATCTTTTAATTTTTTTGTTTGTTTGTTTAATGAAATTAATTAAGCCAAATATTTGCACCAGGATTAACCATTCAGATCACAGCAGCTCACGTCCATCTGATTCAGAGTACAAGCACAGAAAAGACATTGACAAGTTTTTTGCCTGCATCAATACATTTGCACCTAAGTGGAAAGCTCTTCTGAATGTAGCGTGATTGTTCCTATACTTATTCTGCTAAGGGTGGGGACAAAAAAAGTCTCTGAAAACTAGCGGTAACTGGATTATTTCCCCACTACTTTTTACACTCTACTTTCACTAACCAATTTCTGATGGTGACTAAACTAAGTAAATTTCCTGTTTCCTCATCTTCTACAGGATACATGCAACAAATGAGTCACTCTTTAATTCCTTAAGATTTACTCTGCAAAAGTTATATGCAAATGAAAAAAACGAAAAGAAACACATACATTAATTGTAAACTATTAGAAAAAAAATCTAAAATGAATAAGTCTTAAGTATAGTCAATACATCAAGGTTTTCTCTATCTCCATATTTGGCAATTGGACCAGTAAGAACAGAAGAAAACATCAAATTTCACTAGAATTTTAACAGCTTCCTGGAGGCTCTACTGTGTTTTTATCACCATTAAAACTTTCAAAAGAAAATTAAGGGGACAGGCCTGGAAGGGAAGACAACAACAATGTTTATGTACCTGTTACAACACAATGTACATCAAGCAAATATATAAGTTTATCCTGGACAATGCTGTTGATCTTATAGCACTAGTCTTGCTGTTGATATATTTATAAATAGTAGTTCCTGTTAAATAGGTACTCTTGTTTTTATTTATAAATGTTAAGTTTTTTAAAATACTTTTTAAGTTGAAAGTTCACAAGTCATAGTTTGAAAGACAAAACCAAACACAAAAAAAACAAGTTTTCTCAAGATAATATAAGGTAGCACTGTTTAACCCTTCTACTCATTAGATCAATATTACAACACTAAAAAAATTGATAAAATACATTAAAAATGATGAATTTAAGTTTTTTACCTTACAAAAGAACTTGAAAGGAGCCCAACAAGCCCTACTGCAGCTCCAATAACAGCTACTTTTCGACAGCCAAACAGGTCTGTGAATATGCTGACTATTGGGGAGCAGAAGAAGACCATTCCCATGGAAAGAGAGCTCACCCACGCTGCAAAATAGAAAAGAAAAGACAACATTTTAGAAGACCAAGTGATTTCAGCTTTCAGTTAATACTTGTTCTCACCTAGGATTTTATGTTGCTGAGCTAAAGCTGGGTAGCAATTGGGTAACTATTTTAAAAACATTTAACTACATATTGAAATATACTTACCTAACATGGTAAAAAAAAAGACCCTAACAATTTATATAATCAACTAATTTAGATTTTATCAGCTCAAAGCATGCAATTAACTTTTTTGTAGCTATTACTCCTACTTTTTTTTTTTTCTTATAAGCACAAAAACACTTCTCTAGTAACTAACCTATTATTCAAACTGATGCCTAGGTCATTAAAGACACCTTTGAAGATCCATATTCATTCTGACATCAGTTCGTTCATTTCACTTGACTTAATGCTAGACCTTAATGACTTTAAACAGGTACATTTGCTGAAAAAAGAGTAATAATTTTTAAACTTCATTACTAGATGTAGATCAGACTGAACATCAATAAGGAGTAATCAATAGGCTTTTAGACTGTAATAGGAATGTGATTTTACTTTAGACAAAAACTTGAGTTACTAAAACCTCTTTCATATATATAATGGGAAAATTTCACTACTTTTGATACTGCTTGAGCTTTATAGACATTGTGAAAACTGTACTTGGTTTATTAGATCATTCAGATTCGATTCAGGTGAGTCCACTATAGTTTCAGCCACAAGTGGGGTTTTTTAGCACAGCTAGTAGTTACAACTAATATGTTTGATATATATAGTCATGTATATATTGGAAATGTCCCCACCAATATGGGGGGAAAAAAAATTGTCTAAACAGGAAGTGGAAAAAGGTACTAATTCAAAATGAATTGGAAAAAATATTTTATCTTCATTTCGAATTATACAGAAGACAGGACAACTCTTTCAACCCAAAAGAGTTTTAAATTTATGTAACTGTAATTTTGTTTAGAATATCTTTCCTAAAGATGTAGTTAGAAAAACAATTGTGATTCAGTGATGAAGACAAATCAAATTATCTGGAAAAGCATATAACCACAGGACTAAATGAAGTATATTTGCAAGTAGATCTACCACTACCAAGGCTTAGGAGATGAGTTGTTCAAGTGCCAATGAACCCTACACATTGACTGAGACCTCATCATGCAAGACACTAACAACAGAAAAAGAAACCAACAAGCAAAAACTTGTTTCTTCCAAGAACTTACAATGTAAATGAAACACAAAAGAATAGATAGATAGAGATAACCAGAAATGAGTACAAGAAAGAAAACCTTTATTTTAGGTCAAACAATGCTTTCAACAAGCCATGGCCTAACTGTCTAGGGAAGGGAGGGAGGGAGGTGTGTCACAGGGATTTTTTGATAGTGTGATAAAATAATAGAGTTTCAAGGCACAATCTAAGGCTGATGTACTTTTATGGCCATTTCCTGTGTAGGGCTACCCCATATATGATAGCCCTGCTGCCTTGCAGCTCTGCAGCAAAATCTCAAACTGTATGAAGGGACAGCACAAGAGATTAGGAAGAACAAAGACCCCATGACATTGCCTGAACAGCAAAGACCAAGTTTATGAAAGGTCTAGTTCCCTGCCGTTGAGGAAAGCTCAAGAACACCTTGGGTGTGGCAGGACACAACTCCTCTGAGATCTGTCCCCTATTACAGCCCAAATGGCTACTGATGGGACAAGACATTACACTAACCACAGTCTGTAGGCAGGAGTCTAAGGGAGATGTTCTCACACAGCCTGGAGACCAGGCAGTTACAAAGCTTCTAAGAAGTCCAACTTCTACAAGACTCCTCATCCTTATCTTTCCCAGAGTGAGCCTGCAGTTTTACTGTTCAAAGGAAACTGCAAACACCAGGGGACAGAATGTCCATTTCAGCCTATCACCCTCCCAAATAAATGGTGGTTACACCACCATGAACAGTCCTCAGCACCTCTGCATGATTTGCAGGGCAGCACTAGGAATCAGAGTCCCCCTCCTGCAAGGCAAAGAGGCAGCTAAACCTTGAGAAGCATCCATCACAAGTTTCATGGGGTATGAAGGTACAAGGAAGGGCTGAACCACCTGTCACCCTGCCTGTCCAGGTACAAAAAGATTAAAAGGCAACAGACAGGAGACAAGCCCACCAGAGATGACTGGTTTTGAGAATTCAATCTCACATGGCCCCCATTCATGGAGGCAAAACCAGCAAAGAAAGTGGGCACCTAAAACTGAGCTGAAGTAGCTTGCATAAAGTAACTGACTAAATTACTTTAGAGCTACAGGCTGTGATTTTATTTCAATTCTACTTAGTGAAGTCCAGGTTTACAGTGTATTTTTATGGCCTATACAGCTAATAAAATAATTGGAATATAAAAGGCTGAAGACATTCAGCTCAAATTAAACTAACACATTGATTTTGTCTCTTTGTGCTTCCAGGCACTCATGAAAAAACTATGCCTTTTTCATCACTTGATTCTCTTTTTTTATTACAATAATGACAGGGCAGAGTCTAAAAGAGAAAGTTTCCACTGGTTTTCAAGACAACAGACAGTTAAGACAAATGATGATGCCTTATCTGAAGCATTTCAGAATGGAATGTTCATGTGGGAATAAGTCCCACTGCAGAAGTGGGAGACCACTTATCTACCTAATGAAAACTGGAGCCCTTCAAATTACTGCTTCAGTAAGTTGCACTCATTAATCTACAGAAATGTAGTTTAGAGATGTGGTTGGCATGTTTTGTATGAACAGCTTTATTATCTATTGAAAAGAATATTCCTGAAGTTAAACTTCACCTCTATACATAGATCAAAAAAATGTACTGCCTTCTTCCTTTGTGAAGAAACCTTGCACCAAAAATAAACAGAAGAGTACATGAGTAAATCTTTAAATGCCCTAAGGCAAATAATTCTTGCTGTGATATCTTCATTCTATAAAGAAATTTTTGGCTTTTAAATATATTCAATACATCCAAGTAATTTTTTATCTCACTTTGTTCAAGTAAGTTTTCAAGCACCCTTATGCTTTCTCATGCAGTATGAAAAATATACATTGAATTGTCTTCCACACTTTTTCGAACAGATATTAAACTGTCCTAAGTAATACAAAAAATTACAAGTGCAGCTTGCCAGAATACTGAGAGCTCTCTAGAGCAGTTATTACATATTAATTAAAGTATTTCTCCTCCAGGCTACTGGCTGCCTTCCTGGCACAAGCTGGCCATACTCCAGAGCTGCTAATTCAGATACTAATACAGCACCTAATTGCTACATATAACTGTATTCATATTCATACACAAAACATTTTGATTGCTATAGAAGAAAACCTATTTCTACTTTAAGGACTTAAATATTCCTTAAGGCACTGAAAGTTAAGAATTAACTCCTCAAAACATGTAATTTTCCATGGATTTAACAATTCCCAGGCTTCCCTAGAAGATGTAAAAGTAGTCATCGTTAAGATACAAGTATCAGACCAGGGAGCACCTGTACTGAAAAGTCTGTTTGTTCTGTGCCAATGAAACACATAATGGATTACAAAACCTCAACGTTTTACTATAACTAGAATTATTCAAACATGAAAGTCACAGCTACATGTTCTTTCCTGATCAGTTCACTGAAAATCTGAACATATATTCTGAGATTTCTTTAATTATTTCCTCTGTTCAAAAGTCTACAGCAATGCAACTATACTATGTACTCCAAAAATATGCTGCTGTTCTACCATGACTCTTTAAAAATTAAATAACTTTTTTTAAATAGTATCTAATATCTGAATATTAGATACTATTTCAAATAGTATCTAATATTCTGACTCTCAGAATTATTCCCACTGTCACAGTTAGATTACACAACAAACATTTATCTGCCAAACTATAAACCAAGCTATTAAATATTTTAGTTCATTTTTTAGAGTCAAGCACTAGGATTTACAGGACAACAAAAAAGAAAACATGATAATAATGTTCTGTTGGAATGCTTTATCATGCACAAATTTAAATAAAGGCTACTTGTCCAAAACCTTCTTGTTTAAAACCATTTTTTTCTAAGAATTACAATAAGGAACTTAGCAGTTTTATCCTCAAGTGCCTTACAAGTGTTTGGCACAACACAGTAGTAACACCCTTCGTTCTTTAACAAGCTTCAAGATGGTGGGTTTTTTTAATATTTTCCCTTGAGATTGTTCTGGTTGAGAAAGAGAACAAAATGCTGCTGTCTAGAAGACAAGAAATGTGGGGCAAGAAAAATAAAGGCACTTAGTAACTTCTAAAAGCTCAATAAGCTTGAATAATATTTAGCTTTCACTAAGTTATTAGTTACAATTTATGCAAGCATAAGGAAGCCTGTATGTACTCTCCCAGCCTCAAACCACTAACAGCTGAGAGACTTCTTAAGCCTATTATTATTTGTTTTTCTTTATACATAAATTTGGACATTACTTCTTTTTCCACTGCATTTTTCAATATTCTGGCAATTTCTCCTCCATGAACTGCCAAGCTTCCTTGGAACACTGGTGTATTTTCAGCTTCCACAACTTCTTACAGCAAAAAACTCCATAATTTAAATATGGAATGGGTAAAAGATCCATACTTCTATTATGGCCATTTACACAGATATTCTCTTCAGCAAAGCGTAAGATTGACTGCCATAAAAAGATTTGTTATGAGAATAGCTTGGAAATTTGAGAGATCCTGTTCTGGAGGAAACAAAAGTGGTTGTTGAAAGTTATTTATGGAAATAATTTGTGTGTCTCCAGCTAGTATTAATAATTCCTTGCCTGTTAAATCACATTTACATGGCATTTAATTTTTAAAACAACAAGATAATTGCAAAGCCATGTAGATCAAAGATTGATTTAGCCCAGAACCCTGTTTCTGACCACCACAAAGTACTTAGACAAAGACCTCTGGATAAAGGGCTAGCATGCTTTTTCCCTGGCTACATCCTCCCAAGATCCAGCAATAGGCAGCTTAGGAACCGCCTAAGCAGAGTGCTGCATCTAACCA